TTTGGCGATACTGACGAAGATATGGGAAAGTTTGATACCGTTACTAGTATTTTTCTGTAAAACCCATGTTAGGATTCGGAAAGGTCCAGTGTGAATCAATTCAGAAACAGAATCTCAGAGACGCCAAAAACATGTATAATTTTACGAAAGGGCTTTAATAAACTGCTGCTGAATAAACTTTTTATCACAGATTTCACAGCGGTCAAATTAAAGATGGTGATGATGAGATGGTGAGAAAGAATCTGAGGAAATCATTATTAGATCAGGAATCTCCTTTAAGGTAGCTTGGAACCGTATTCAACTTGGTATAGGAAAAATCTTATGAGGGCCTGCCTATAACACAGACCACATACCTAGCTGTGATACCAATGCACACCACCTGACTTGGTGAAACACTGACAGCAATGAAATAGATGAGCATTCACTACTGTTGGTGGTTGAACCCACTCCTTTTTGGATTAGTAGTGAAACAAGCGACTGCTCTATTATAAAAGTAGGTGAGGTGCAAAAATTTGCTTGTTTGGCAATAACGAGGGTAATGAACTATACTGGAGCCTGACAGTGGATACTTTCAAATCTATCCCATTTACATATATAGTGGGAAGGCAAAAGTGGACTGATTCAGATTGAAAGATTGATAATTCGAAGTTCATTTTCAACACAAGCTGCACGATTAAAGTCATAAATCATGAAGAGTGGGTGATAATTAGTCACCCTGAGAATAGACCTGACAAAAATACCTGGTATAGAGACGGTCAAAAACTAAACAAGAGACAAGAGCTTGAATATAGTGTGGATGCAATATGCAATAAATATCAATTGACAACTAGGCATCACCCGGGGCATTGATAAACCTAAAAAGATCTGATAGCAAGAAATTATTAATTTTGTACTGGGTGGTTGGATACGAACGAAAAGGCTGAATAGTGTGCTTGGATAGGGATCGACCAACAAGTCCATAAACAGGCCCTAAACCAGCTGTACAGGTACCACAAGGAAAACCTTGATAAAACGACCGTCGGGAGCTGAAATCTCCTTGTAATAATTATTGGAGAAAACCTAAAGTACATGGGGCTACACAAAGTAGGACTTAGCTGCAGGTTTTGACAGAACGCATTTCTGCTTTCTTCTAAGTTTGTAATTTGTACCGTACTACCATCTTGTGGCACTGAACCTGCATGTGTTTGTTACTCATATCGAATTATAGTTACCAGTCATTCATATTATTTGTTAACCGATATACGTACCCTCGAGTTAGATAACCAACTAATATAGGAACAATGTTTTTTTTCAGTTTCAGATGTTTCCTTCTCGGCCATCTACCGACGTTTTTTCCGGTTGAGGATTCAAGAAATTTGCGAGTTTAGTGCGACTCGATTTCTAAGTATCTATTTGATTCATTATTCAAAACATTTTGCTCAGGTCCTTGAGAACAAGATTTTGTCGGTCGTGCCCTGTGCCTGTGATTCACTTTAGGTGACTAATTTGACTAACTTCAAAGATACAAGTTGAAATAAAGAGATCAACTGCACAACTAGTGTCCTTTTGGGCAGCAGTGATCTTCCTACACGAAAATCTTGAGATAACCTTTTACAAGTTATTACAGCAGCTCGTCAATAAGGAAACTGTAAAAATTAGTAAATGTTTTTTGAAGGCTTTGAAATCAGCTGCATCTCATGTATCAAAAAACATTTTCAGAAATTGTATTTCAAAATTCCAAACAATGGCCTGTTGATATATGTCAAATTGTACAACATTTTAATGATGAGAAATACCAGTAGTTATTCATATTGAACTTGGCTAACATCCAACGCAAAACAAATAATTCAAGTTTCTCAGTTTACTAATTTGAATACTAAAACAAACAATTGAACGAAAATAGACCTATGTTACTACTTTTCGATGGTTCAAACAAATAATAAAAAATAAAACGTATTTTCCTAGGAGAATAGAACATTTTTCTTCGTTACCGTTGAGATGTTTTCTAAACAGGATATTTCAGAGGTTAATTACTACAAACAGAGACGATTCTAGGTATGAGTGATTTATTGGATAAAACCCAACATATTCGGTTCTTGAGATGAAATGATAATTATATATCAGATTTTCTTTCAAAACTTTGGTAACTTACGTTAAAATACTTACCAAAGTCACAAAATATGTTTTTACGATTTGACGATCACGGAAGAAGAGATCTTGAATAATACTGATGAACATTCATCAAAAAGTAGTACATTTATATTTGTGATGCACTGTTTGGAACCGTTGGTTAGTACATCTATAGTTAGACAAAGAATTATTCGTTGTGCGAGTGTTAGATGCTGATGAGGAAAAATTTACAATAGATGGAACCATATTTGATTGGAAGGATGATTTACTATAACCTACATTATTGAAAGATATCGCTCCTGTTAATTTTGACTTTGACTACCTGAATCGGATATTCGGGGACAAATAGTCTCTGGGGTAAAATAAAGAAGAAATGAAGTGTGAATAGAAATTAGTGACTCGCATTCAAACTGCATCAATATCTTTCGATAAACATTTGGAATCGTTTGAAGAAGTGAAATTATCTGACACATTGATTATCCATCACATGTTGTCATTATCATTCCAAATGACACATTTTTTGTTCATTTCGAAACATTTTTTTTATTCTAACCCGTTTAACTTTTTACCATTTTTATTGTGGTGGTTAATAGTCATATATTGATAAGAACCAACACCGTTCAAATCATACCTATTTCAATTTTGTAATATTGTCTTTTTGCAAAACGCACTTCATAGATAGCGCCTCCGTCGTATGTAAAAGTGATGACAAAATTTTGTGACGAAAATTTCATGAAAACTTAAGTGTTTTTGACATACTTGTCAGTCGTGACTGAGACTTCGACAAATAACTTTCGTCGTCACAGTTGACGCACATACCACTGATAATGTCTGTCGCAATAGAAGACGAAACGTTTGTCACTTCGCTGTTTCCGAGGACTTCGAAAGATTGCCTTTTTCACTTTTTTCGGCTCAACTAATAGTATAATTTGTACATGTCCTTCAATATTTGATATGTAAACGCAGTCACAGGGGTCTACACCAAAGTGGTAATGGAATCTCTCTCCGTCTTCGGAAGTGCAGACCTTCCGCATGAAACAAACCTCCGTATATCCGCTTACACAAGTTTTTTTAACGGAGTTTTAACGGAAGCGTGTCATTCCGCACTGCAATATTTTATTGAGTATAATTAGTCAGTAACTGCTAGTATTTATAAATTTTGTAAATAAAGCTATGGTAAAATAAGATTCACCTCTTTTGTTTATCATAAAATTCTCTATGAAAGGGAAAATCACTCTTCATGCAAAACATTCAGTTTTAAAAACAAAAACTTGTTTTTCAGCATTATTGATAATTTTTAGTACACTGTTGATATTACTTCGAAAAAAAATTATAATCAAAAGAAAAAATCGGGCTTCGTTGAATAAAGAAAATAAATATGCGCTCTGTTGAAAAAGTGTCTTCTTTGACCAAATAGAAAGCAGTTCCATCAAACGCAAGATTATAATAAAAATATTTACAGTATCTATAAATATTTTCGTGATTTTCACAATTTTTGCCAGACAGGTTCCAACGATAATCCACGTACAAGTTTATTGTTATTATGTCTTACAAAATATGATACATCTGCTCCAGACTTCTCAGGTGGAAAAGAGTGCTAAATGAGATTTATCACATCCTAGGAGGAAACCATATATCTTGTTTTTGTTTATTTATGTTTCACGGCGTATATATTTTAAAAATATTACGATTTCGACCGTTAAAGTCTAATTTTTCGACAGTCATTAAAATCTTCTATAAGTTGTTGATACAACAAGCGTATAGGTGGTAGAAAATCAGTCGTTTCAGTAAAAGAAAAAAAAACCTTTATTCAACCTCTTAATTTAAACATTGTCGGTAATAAATAAATACTCATAAGTATACTTTGGAAAAGAAAATTTCTTGTTACTGACCTAGACTTGCAGAAGTCAGTACATACATTTTGTATAAAAAAAAACTAAAGTCAATTATGAAAGGACAATTACATAAAAAAAAATGAAAAATTACCTATTATCTTGAATAAAAATTTCTTGGTAGATGTTTCAAATGTCAATGTCGATGTCTCTTTGAAATATTTGCTTAAGGTTTCTTGGCTAATTCCTTGGCTAATTCCAGCACATATTTATTTTTAACAATATATCTTTTCAAGTTATATGATTTTTGATCCCTTTTTCTAATAATTTTTCCAGCTTATCATAATCACATTGTTTCCTATTCAGCATTCGATGATGTAAAATGTTTAAAAAAAGTAATCAATTCATTGAAATGTGCAAATTGACTTCAATTTATATACAAATAATGCGATTAATACGAGTAGAAAAGTCATTGAATTTGTCAACAGAATTTCAAAGAAAGTATCTGTTTTTTGATGAGGTACTTTTTGGAGCAGGAATGACATCTACGTTGGCAATGACCTGAACCCTTTAAATTAAAATTGATCTTTTGATTGTTGGCACTTGTATTCATAGAAAAGAGTATTAGTATTAGCCTCCCATTTTTTTAAATATTTTAATAATACATTCAATTACAACAATTGTTTAACAAAAGGCTTCAAAATCGTTTAAAATATGTTCGATTGCTTCCGAATCAAATGACACTTTGACTATCTTGGAGGTCAAATTTTCGATAAAAAGTTATTTGTGAATCAAATTATAATATAATTATAGTATAATTACTAGACATATTTCCTTTTGTTAAACAATGTCAACAAAATTTTTCCTAAAATTCCGCGAATTGTGTGTTATACCATTATGTTGAAATTGATACCATCATTAATTTGTTTTTTGCTTTTTATGATTTTATGTCCAGCACTAAGTAACCACTTTGTGCAATTTCCACAATTCAAAAATATTTTTCCATTTTTTCATTTCTTGTAGCGTTTCTCTTTATCTTCATTTATTTTTTATTTTCAGATGTTGAAGAACTTTCAGCCCGGCTGAGCCTGATGGCCGCCTCAACCAGTGAGAATGAACTTCTTAAAGAGGCCGGATTGGGCTCCATCGCCGACCCAAACTACCTCAATAGCAGATGTGTTTATTTGGAACAACTGCTCAGCGGTAAGATCACCTAAATGAACATGTGCACACATTATTCATCTATAGTCCGGGCAACGACATATTATACCGGGTGCAATCATTTTAATATGGCATAAAACATCCTGATGATTGATTGAGGTCAAACATGATGATATGGTTTCCCTTTTTTCGTTTAATAATTGAAATTACCATATTTGTCTTTATCATATACATGTTTTCATGAACGCTTTCGACATTCATGCAATATTCATTTTCAGTCGGGAAATCATATAAAATTATAACGTTACTTTCAAAAAAATCACTCAGTCTTTTTAGGTTTGCCATTACCATTTAAAGCCGGACCCCTCGCAAGAGCATCTAGAATTATAGGAACACGAGACCAACATGATTGCATCATCAGATCATTGACAACACATCCCGCTTTTTAATGAAATAACTCAAGTAATGTATCTTGAAGAACACAAACCTAACGTAACCTTTCCTAACCTTAGTCTAACCTAGATACAAGACAACTTAAGAGAATTAGTTGAAGTGGAGCCGCATTCATATATGTATATGATGCTTTCCAAAATTATAAAGACAGATACATAACACTAGACTTTTGGATGCTTGCAAAAGACTAAAATAGTGAAAAGTAGCACAAAAACTGGGACTAGTGACAAAGGAGCCATTCCAGAGAACATTATCCTATATGGTTTGCCACGTATCTGCCACGATCTGGCACAGATGAGGCACAAACTAGAAAAAAACACAAGTGCAAGTAAATCAGATGTGTGTAAGAAATAATGAGCAGAAATAGATTGACTCTATACTGGGCATCCAGTATAGTGTTAATCTAACTGTTGCGATACAAAAATATGTGGTTTGGAACCAAATAGAAAGGGAGAGTACTCGGAAAATGCATCTGGGAACAGATGCAGTTCATCGTATTGTATGCGAGTTGGATCACAGGAGGCAAACAATTAATGAAAAACCCAAATCATACCCAGAGACTAAAGAGAAGTGGACAAGTTAGACAAATCTCGAACACTGGAAAAATTTGTTAAATTAATTTGGTGATATGAAAATCCCCTTGATTTAATTTCAGATAATGGCTGCTTAACTTGATAAAAAAAGGCAAAGACTGAAAAAGAGTTGCATTAAGGAAATATTTCCTTTTCATGATAATTGAGATCAGACAACTAGATGATAACAGGGCCCAAAAGAATCACATTCATGATCCCGTAACAGACAGCGTTGTTTCGATCTAGTGGATCTGACCAGACTGACGAAGCGATGTCACGTATAGGATTATAACTGTTACTCCTTCTGATTTCATCCACTTAACTATTGATAATTTTGAAAATTGATAGCTCTATCTGAGCCGAACAACCCCAATGTATTGGTCCGAATTTTCGATAAATTAAACATGAAAATGACTTTTAAAACTGCTCCTACACTTCAACAAGCATTGTGCCACATGGAAAACAAGATGATAGAAAAGAAAAATATAGGTTTTCATAATAAGATGTGAGGATTGTGACAGAAAGTACGTTGGTCAAACTAAGCGAACTCTACTAACGCATTTCAAGTGACATGTTTCGTATATTTGGTTTTGAAAAGTCAAGTATCATACCTTAGAGAACACCCACAGATAACTGAGAAATTCTTGAAATTGTTGGTACATAACAACAGGATTTTAGTAGACCTTGAAAGTTTAAAAATTGAAAGGTGTGAAAAAAGATCTGAGAACAGGGATGAAAGTTTACACTCTTACGTAATAATTAATCACAATCAGCAAACAGGGAAATAGTAATTGGTCAGTAGTCATTAGTGAATAACATATAAACTTGGATACGAGAAAGAAATATGCTATTTCCAGATCCGTAATACGAACCTATATTTATGACCCGTTGCTCGGACTATTCACAAACGTTGTAATAGGAGTAAGTTATCTCGCACGCGTTTGTTTTCGACTTGAACCCAATAACTTCTACTCCAGCCGCCAGAACGGGGAGATTTATTGCCACAACGGAATAAATTAACTGAATTTTGTGGTCTGCTAAATGATTGACGCTCGTTAACTGTATGTACATTTTCAGTCTTCCAATCAGAAGTGAAAACAAGTCACATTTACTGAAGCCGGCGCCGAGAAATGGGGTTACGTGTAACCGCTAAGCTGTCTGAAATGTCCGACGCGATGAAAATCACAGGGCGATGAAAGAAAAAAATCTGAATGAATAAAAATTTAATAGAAAAATGTTGAAAAATGTTTCATGAAGATAAAAACCAATGGTTTACATCCCACCACCTACAACTTACCAACTTTTGGTGCAAAGGTGGGTGGGTGAAAGGATATATTCGACACTCCACTACAACCCGCGAGGGTTTATTGTGGCTTACACCTATTCAAACTCGACCAAATTAATCGCGCTTCTCAACGAAGCCGATTACTTTATTTGGTGAGTGATTTTTTAGGTCAGCTAGCAAGAGTGAAACTCTGAAAACCTGGTTCCGTCCTCAAGTCTTTCTCCGGAAAATTTCTTTTCTCTGGAAAATGTTAATTTGTTGTCTTTGACCCACAAAGTTTTGCAAAAGAAAACCTCAAACTAGATCTTTCAAGAATTGAAGAAATTTTCTATCAACTACATAGAAATTCCGCCACAATTTTTCATTAGGCTGATTCAAAAGTTTCACTAAGTTTCACTGAGATTTTACAGTTTAAAGTAGACTGATTGAAACTAACAAAACTTCTGAAACAACCTAATGCAAGAAGTTTCTCATACAATGCTCAGAATTTCATAACCAACTCCATACTGAAATTAGATCATATTCTTGATGTAGAATTTGGAACCTCTAACGTAAAATGAATGTATTGAAAACCCTTTTTTCACACCGGAATGTAAATACTGCCAAGCACAGCACACTCGAAACAGTATTTGGTCCTGATAAGCATATATTATTTTTGTCGTCTATAATTCCTCTATTCTCACAATTTTTATATGAAGAATTGATGTTATTCCATACTGTTAAATTGAAAAACAGCAATTGCAATCATTCTTCTATCTTGTTTGCATACGAATATTTTTTTTTAATTTTTGTTATTCATAGCAAAATGACGACAAAACACAAGCACTACATGAAAATCCTCAAGGCGCTTTGCAAAAATAACGATTCACATTGGATTTGAATTGCTGGAGATCCATTTTTTTTTGAAAAAATTTCTCAGGAAGTTTATTCCACATAAACGCAGTTCTCCAAATGAAAGTGTTCTTGAACAGTGAAGTTCGAAGTGAAAGTATCTATAAAAGAGTGACAAATCTCCCACTTCTTCGATCTTCCAGATTATCAAGGTTGAAAGTGATATTTCTGTCTCCAATCAGGCGGATGACTCCAACGGAACAATACTCCAACGAAGGTCTGATCTGAGCTTTATAAAACATCAAAAGTTGATGAGGTGTGTACAGTTTTCTGGTTCGGAACAGCTTTTGAGAAGCAGCTTTTGCAATTCCAGCCACATGATTGTGTCAAAACATATTGGTGTACATTTCAACCTCCAGTAAACTTATCGAAGCAGGAAGCGGAATTGTCTGTCCTGACATCATTATATCCGGTTGGGAGACATTTATCTTTTTGGAGAAAACTGATTTATGGGTTTTTGTGGCATTGAATTGAACCTGGCTAGTTTCACTCCAACTCGAAATCACTTCTAGATCCTCATTGAGATATGCAACCTCCTGCTGCCGGTGAAGATGTGCATCTGCTACAGATGTCTTGGAATCCAAATGGAATGGACGAGACAAGTGTGCTGTCGTCAGTAAAGATATATATTGGCCATAACATCGAAGTTTGACCAGCAAATCCTCATACCGCACACAGTCAAAGGGAAATATCAAGCGTAACAACTCTTGACTCTCCATGTATCTCGATTTTGTTATTCCAAATATGGGTGACATACGATAGAAGGTCACCTGTTGATCTTTGTTTCCGAAAGCCATATTGATGATCGCTCAAGATGTTAGAGCCTTCCAAATATTTAAGGATATGGTGGTTTACGGCTTTCTCCATGATTTTTGATATCACTGATAGCAAAGCGACTGGTCTATAGTTATTTGGAATCTTCCAACAATAAGAAAAAACCCCTTCCTTGTAAGGCAGGTTGAAAAGTCTGCAAAATACTGGTGCGAGTTCATTTGCGTACTTTTTAAATACGATGACGGGCACTTCGTCAGGACCAGATGCCTTGTTGATATTAAACTGTTTCAAAATTCGTCTGACTAGACGTTGTCGAAAAGTAATGTCCGCAATTGTGGATTCTAGTATGGGTAGTGCCTTTCCCAGAAAATCGGTTGTGGAGTGGGACTCAAATTGTCCAGCTAGTATAGATTTGCTTTTTCCATGGCTGTTGTTGTAATTGAACCATCGTCTTGTGTTAGTTATGGAATTGTTGATTGTGTAAAGTTTTGATTAATAGCTTTGGCTACCGACCAGAAGGAGTTATATCCGTTGGGATTGGCAAGCAGTTTTTCCCTAATTATCTGATTGTGAAGTTCTGAAATTTAATTTTTGTGATAAATATTTTCAAGCATAGGCCATACAACATTGAAATGTGCCAGTTCTCGTCTGATCACTGAAGCCAAGTGGATGGGTGCCTGTTCGAAAACACCGCGAGTCGTTTTCATTTTTGTCTTCACATCGATGAAAAATATATTTTACACATCACCCATTGCCACTTCCTTTGACTTGTTTTTATATCGAATATTTTCACTTGAAACAATTTTGTAATAAAACATTTGTTGTTCGAACAGGGAACTATAAAACTGTCCTCAAAACTCAAGTGAAAGAAACAAAAAAACTCAAAACACTAGAGCCCTGCGATATATTTTAGTAGTTTATTATGAAATTTTGAATTTCATTTTAATTTAATTTTGAATCAGAGACCTGTAAGAAATGAATTCAAAACCTGTTTATTGAATCATTCATGTATTGGGTGATGATTGGCGATTGTGTTTTTGAATAGATCTCGTTGTTTGCTCTGCCAG